CAGGGCCATGTCCGGGCGCTGATGGTAACTGCAGCCCGTTTCAACAAGTGAATGGGCGCAGTTAAACATGCCACGACGGCCAGGAGGGGGGAGCCCAAGAAAAAGAAGAAACGAAAGAAGAAAAAAAAAAAAAAAAAAAAAAATCAAAAAGAAAAAACCCAAAAACAACTGACCCTTTAAAACGAACAGACTGCTTAAGTAGTCTCGTGGAAACAAAAAAAGGGGGGCAATGTAGTAGTGCACATTTCCATGTTCTACCGGTAGATTCATTCGATTTTGCTCATCCTATTTTTTCTGTAAAAATAATAAAATAAAATAAAATATTTTTTCGACTTTTGATTTTTAACTCATGATTGGCTACGAAGTTGAACATGACTCCAAGGCAAAAGTTGCTTGTATTGTTATTCTACATAACATATATTTTTTTCCAGAATTGTTTGAGAACATTTTTTTTTTTTAAATATTTTTTTTATGTTCGCGTTCTGAGGTTTTTTGACGCTTGTTCGTGTTCGGGCGAACATGTTCGCGTTCGCCTCCGAATGCGAACACAGTGCTACGTAGGTTCGGGTCTTCAAACTCATGCTGTCCGTTTCGAAAGCAAACGGATGCATGATGAAAGTCAATGTCAGAAAGGGGAACAAGGTGAAAAAAAAAATAATAATAATGAAATGCAAAGTTGGATTGTAAGAAAAATAAAATAAAATATAAGAAGAATAATCTAAAAAAAATCTGAAAGAAAAAAATAAAATCTAAAAACAAATATAAAAACTAAAAGAAGAAACAACAAATTTACCTGCGAAGGTAGTCGTGAAAACGGGCGTCTGGAACTCTTTCTGGGACTTCAAGTCCCCATCATGTCACATCACGCCATTTGGCGCTCCAACTGTAGCATTTAGTTTTAGTTAGTTCCCCCCCCCCCCCCCCCCCCACCTTTTTCCATTGGCCTAGGCCAATGGATACGTCACCTCACGTGGCTTTTCAACCACGATCTCATGAAATGCAGACCCGAGTTCGAGTCCCACGAGACTCGAATGCATTTTCTCAATTTATGCGAGTCATCCTTGGGCAGAGCCATACTACTCTCCGTGCGCGAATCTCAGCTGCGATTTTAGATATTTGCACGACCGAGATTCGTCGGGCCTAAGCCTGCGCATGCCCACCGCTGCTCCAAAATGGAGCTAGCCCAGAGGTGCGACATGCTGGATTCGATCCCGGTATCTGTCGGGTAAGATTTGAGTGTTATAACCTACTGGGATAGCTCCTATCACGACAGTGATAGGAACAACTCTTCTATAAGAAGAGCTTACCGAGTCAGTATCCCTCATGACGTGGTCTTGCAGGCACTGCCTGCCTCAGGCCTTGTAGGCCCTGACTGCCTGAAGCCTAATAGACTTTGCTTGTTGGCCCTACCCTGTCGGTTGGCCGCGTGACCATGGTTTGATTGGTCACCCAACCGGGTAGGCCTCGACATCAGCCTGTCGCCCCCCTTTTTAGTGGTCGGCTATCTATCGATAGCCTGAGCGATCACCCATATCCGACACGACCCTCCATTTAGTCTACTTAGGCTCTGAATCGCGCGACTGCTACTTTAGGGAGAATAGGTCTAGCTTCAGCGTTCCCATGTCCGCACTCTTCTGTGACTTCGACAAAAATGAAGCACTGCTAGTTACTGTCGTTACTCTTGGACGCAGCAAGCGTCTTGACTAAAACTCGAAAACTTTTAATCTCTCAGTCATAGGTCATGTTTGAATAAACTTTTGACAATCATCAGTCTCATCAAGCCTTTGAATTCAACGAAAGAGTCAGACAACGTCCGATGTTTTAAACCCCCCGGCCCTTGCCAGAGTATTTGCCTCGAGAACATTCCTGGATCCCATTGAACGACGTCCCCGTCGTTCACCATCAAAACGAAAACTCTCATAAAATGTCTTTGTATGACAAAAAATTAAAATACTCAATAAGTCAAATATTTGTCCGGAATCAAACCAGAGCTTTCCATCAACGAAATAAAATTCATTCTTATCATTATACCATCAGAACTTAGACCCAGGTCTAGCCCCTGAAAACCTTCAAATTAAGGGAACTTTTTCAGAATGATCCCAGCATCATGATCCCACTAGCGGCCACTCAAAAATTTTGTCCCTCTAAATGGTATCGGAAGCCCTTCGACTTACTCCAAAACGAAATCCAGTCAGTCGATACCTCTGTTGCATCTGAGTAGAACTCAAGTGAGTCAAGAATGAACCCTGACAGGTCTTTTAAAAATATCAATTTCAGTTAATTAAGACGTAGTCTGAACGAACCATTTAGAGGGAAATCATTCTTTCAAAAATTCTTATCCATGTCTTGCCATATACCGACGATAATGAACCGTAGTTAGTCTCAGTATCACCTCAAGCAGTATTTTCCTCGAAAAGGTCTGAGAAATTTTAGAGCGTTCCCATGGTCGCGCTCTTCTGCGACTTCGACAAAAACGAAGCACTGCCAGTTACTGTTGTTACTGTCGGACGCCGCAAGTGTCCGGACTAAGACTCGAAAACTTTTAATCTCTCAGTCATAGGTCAGGTCTGAATAAACTTTTGAAAACCGTCTGTCTCATCAAACCCTTCTATTCAACGAAAGAGTTGGACAACGTCCGACGTTTAAAACCCCCCGACAAATACCCTTGTCAAGGTATTAGCCCCGACACAGATGGCGGGGATGGTGGTGGATATGCCGATGGAACTGTGGGTGCGAACATGGCGAAGAGGAAGAGCGCGCGACAAAATGCTTTCAAAGCTGTGACGGACGTCATGCAGTTCCACTCGAAACTCGTCGTCGATTCTTTGGACACGGTGAAAAAATGGTAGTGCGATGTGCTGCAGCGGCAGTACGACATTATGGAGAGGGAGGTGAAAGTGCAGGAGACACAATGCCAGGTTTGGGATTCCGGACAACATGAAGTGCTCTTGAAAATAGCGCAAGCTCTTTGCAAGGATTAAGCGTGCCCTTCGCTGGGGGTATTTGGATGATAGTGCATGAGGGGGGTGGAATGACTGGGTCGAAGGGGTTTCATTCGAGGGTTGGTGGTGGGGCGGGGTGATGTTGGTGGGTGGGTGGGGGTCAGTTTGATTTTTTTGCGGGGTGTTGGACAATGGGGGGAGTGTGATGGCTATCACATCTCGCAGGTCCGGGGAATTTGGTTGTGATGTCTGTCGGTGACGACCGGATGGATATCAGTTATGTGAACCGCCAGCTGCATACTCTGTGGATGTGTGAGAAGTGACACTACGATGTTTTGGTCTTCTACTTCCACCGCGGCGCTGGGGCCAATGGTCAACTTCCGTCGTATCACTCTCGGTTGTTGCGTTTATTCACGGTGTTGCCTTTTTATTGCGTTTATTTCACCTTATTTTTTTCTCGTGATGAGGGGTATCGTCCTATGGGATATAAGCTTGTCACGTGCACGGGTTGTGGAGAGAGTTCTCCCATTCCAGGTGCGGGTTCCATTGTGTGGTGACATTGAGTGGTGGCCCGACACCTGCATGGATTGCGGACGCTCATCTGATAGATTCGGGGAGAGAGAGAGAGAGAGAGAGAGAGAGAGAGAGAGAGAGAGAGAGAGAGAGAGAGAGAGAGAGATCATCCACTTGTCGTGTCTGTCCGGCAACCATGTTGGCGAGCAATAAACATGGACGTGTGGGTGTCCAGCAAGGGCCACAACCATGCATGAATACCCCGACTGCAAGCGCGGGGCAAGTTCCAAGCCCCACACTCGGAGGAGCGAAGTTGTCCCTGTCTACGATCGGAGTGGCGTCACCAACGACATACACCGAAGGGCTAATGGTGGAAGGCAATGGATGGGGTCCGCACTCGACTGCACCGGACCAACACAACAACGACTGGAAGGGGGACGCGATAGTGGGTCCGGAGGGATGCGCAACCATCTGTGCCACCTATGCACACGCTGAGCCGTGGACGGGTGGTCCGCCACGACCGAACGACTATCTCATGTCTCCACCAACCACTGATGATGACGATTGTTCTGGTGGCAACAGCGACGGTGAAGAATCGGACGATGAAGACGATTCCTGAAGTGTAGTGAAAGAAGTGGATGTGACGACTATGTCGGAGGTTTTTTTTTTTTTTTTTTCACCGGTTTTACGTCTTTATTTTCTCAGAGAGAGAGAGAGAGAGAGAGAGAGAGAGATTCACTTATGGCAATGTATTTTTTTCTTAAGAAATCGAAGTCGGGAATGCCAATTGTAATGGAATTGCGCAGTTGCTTTAATGATTGATGACGCCGTGTCTTGTGTAATTGTTGTCTTGCTATTTTTCGAACACGCGTGTGTGTGTTGCGTCTGCGGTTGAGGTTTCGTAACGGGTTCGTCCCTCCGTCGAGGTGCTTTAGCAAAGTTGTATGCAATTAGGGTTATGGTCATGATGGTGTTGGCAACCGAAGACCCGCGTCTTTTGATAAACGCCAACGATTACTGTGCAATCACTAAAAAAATTTATACAATCACGAACGAAACAACTTGAAATCATTTTATTTTCCCCAGAGCTCAACAACTTCTCTTGAGTTCAAAGAAATTTCAATGCACAAATAAAAGAATGATGACATTGTAATTCGAACATGTTATGTTTACTTATAATGAAGATGGAAAAAGTGGTCGATTTGTTTTTCTTCAATTGCATTGCCCCAACACTGAGGTAGCGTTGGACATGTCATTTACGAGGACAATGAAGCGCACATATCATTGTCAAAGACCTTTCACATTCCAAACCACCACGACTTTTATTTCGAAAGCCAATCAACATAAATCAAGCAAAATACATTTAATGGACAATCACATTCCATAAACCACTGAACGACAAAGCAGACACAACAACCACATTCAAAAACGAACATTCATACAAAAAGCACGTTTGAAACAAAATTAAGCCTCCGGAGGGGCAGTGTCATGATACATTGGATCGGCGGATGGGCGCCGGGGATCGAAGTGGGAATGTGGGGAAGAAGGAGAATGCAACATTGATTTCTTCCCAGATGCAGGAAGGATTAATTGTCTCTCTCTCGCTTCTTACTCTCTCTCTCTCTCTGTCTCTCTCTTTTTCTCCCCCTCTCCCAACGGTTCTCTCTCTCCCCCAACAATTCTCTCGCTCTCCCAACGGTTCTCTCTATCTCTCTCTCTCTCTCAACTGGGTATAATAGCCATACGTGCGCGAAGCGCATCCCTGAGGGCGAGAGCTGCAGGGTCCGCTTGTCTTTGACGCACAAGTGCCGCCGGTGGATACATTCCCAGGTTCACCATCTGCTTGTTACCGTCCGCATCCCGCTCCAGAAGAACCCTCTCGTTGAAGTCGATCCCCATCTCAACAAGCAAGTTATGGAGGATGCAGACACTGTGAAACTGTTGTGGCATGTTTTCCATATTCGTTTTGTGGTGGTGAAGGAATAACCTCCACATTCCCTTTAGCCTGCCAAATGCCCTCTCTACCACTCCCCTCGGTGCATTCTGATTCCCATCGAAGATGGCAACGTCCGATTGTTGCTCCACTCCTCCGTAAGGGACAACCATCCATATCTTTGGATCGTACCTTTTGTCACCCAGAAGGTAGCCCTTTGTGCTCACGCCTCCTGGAAGAACGATCGGCTCGACGTCGAATAAAGTTCCAGCTCCCGCCCGCTTGAATAATGACAAGTTCCACAACACCCTGGCGTCGTGCACACTGTCGGGATAACCAATGAAGACATCAAACACCCTCTGCTCCAGGTCAACGACCACTGGTGCGACCACGGAATACGACGACTTCCGATTACAGTACTCCTCCGACGGTGCGTTCTCGGGCTTGTCCACAAAGACATGCGTGTTATCTATGGCCCCGAAGCAGTTTGGAAAGCCCTTCGCCGCAAATGCAGACGGGACTTGTCGTTGCCTTCGTCCGGTAGGCATGGCGATCTTGTTAGGGTACACTAAAAAGATAGCGTCGGTCACGTCCCATACAACGGTGATGCCAGTGGCTCTATCGATCTCGAATGAGAACGTCCCGCTATCGAAGGTTTCAAGTTCCCCAAAAGTCTCAACCATCTGTAAAGTGCCTACACTACGACGTGATCCGGCTGGAGAGGCACATGGTAATAAGTCAGCTGCCGCTGAATTTACGGGCTGCAGACCGTGACGATGTCGTAGAAGAGGTCCTTGCTCATTCTCAACTTCTTGTGGAAGTACTCCGACGTTGCGTCGTCTGATATGTAGAGGTCACCCCACATTCCTCCTGTCCTCCTTCGTATCCACCAACGTGGACTCTCACACGGGAGAACACAAGCAATGATGGCGTTCGTCATCAGGAAAGGTGCGTCCCACAAAACATTGGAGGTCGCCGGCTCCACCATCCCTTGTTTCATGGGCGCCTCCATCTTCCGCCTACGTATTGAAGCACACTGTGGCAACTTAGTCGTGGATTCCATATGCCTGCACACTGCCATCAACACACTAACCAACAAACCCTTTTCCCTATCCGACAACTCCCTACGCATCACCGCCTCTCCGCTCTCGTGCATGACTGCGCAAGGGACCTCGCCGCCACACCACACGCCAATGTTGTTGCTTTCCCCGTGATGGACATCACTTCGCGGAAGAGACGACATGCATGACCTAATTGAGCCTCGCTGCGTGCACGACCTACCCCCTCCGTCGGGCGTCACTGCCGGAACACGGGACACTGATATTCAAATTTTCAAATAATGGCGCGGACTCGCCGGCCCACGATTGTCCCTCGCGCCGCTGCAGGCCTAGACATTTTTCTAAACCACACGTCCATCAGGGATAACCTGCCGAGGACCTCAACCGCCTTGCAGCGATTCTTAGTTCCGACGGTCGTCTCTAATGTTGGCGTTTCTAGTGTTTTTTTTTTTTTTTTTTTTTTTTTTTTTTTTTTTTTTTAAAAAAAGAAGGGGCCCTGAGGGCTTCATATTAAACTTGTAAAATTGAGGCCGGGAATCCCTCAACAAACAACCCGGAAACCTGTCGAGCGCATCGGCTCCCGCCTTTTTCGCAAAGGCGAGAGCCCTCCCGACCACGTCGCGCAGGAGATAAACAAAAACAAAACCAAGAGACAACTTGGGAACGGCGCAAAATAATCCCGCGAGCCGCCGAGACGGGTGTGGTCGCGTCGCTCCTTCGCCGCTTTAGCCGGGTGCGCCAGCTGTACCTGCGGTCCCCTACGACAGAATAGGTTTCCGCGGGGCATAAGCTTCCTTTCCCTAAGGGGTTGTCACCACCCTTAGAGGTGTATCCCTACCGAGTTACTGACCCACGTGCGAAAGCTTTTAGATGCAATTGCAAAGGTAGGTCAGCCGAGAGCGTTTGCTCCTTCGCTGTAGTATAGATACGTTTGGTTAACGCCAAGCGAACCCGGACGCTGTCCATTCCTAGGGCGCTGATCTCCTAGGTGCGGAGTGGACGCAGGTCGACTAGGACGGTCTCAACCAAGCGTGAAACCCAAATATTTATCCTAGTCCCTTTCACACATAGTCAAAAAAAGGTTACAACGACCACACATATAATTATATCAAAAGGATCGACCGTAGGAACAAATCCAATCTGAAATGATAACTGAAAGGATTTAAATCATCCTACAATATATCCAATAATACAGAGCGAAATAAACAATCCGACCGCCTCAGGTCGAACACCACGAAACAATTAAACAACCGCCAACAGGGAGTTGGCTTACTGAGAATAACAGTGATGCTGCCGACAAAGTAGTCGACCTGCCTTAGTTTTGACTTGATGAGACGCGTTGCCAAAGTCATTCATTCCACCTACCGCTGACTTGAGATCCGACACACGTACCTGTTTTCATCCGTTTTCAATTTTTTTGGATGACAAGTTGCTTTGCGAACGACTCTTGATCAGGGGCATTGCTTGAAGTGTTACATGCCTCTTCCTCTAGGAAGTGGTTTGAGGCACTCCTCCTCCCCGCCCGAGCACAAAACTCGGATCTCAGAACTCGGGCCGTCTCTACTGAATTGGCAAAGTACTCCTCCAAAGACCAGTCCACTCCGGGTCGATAACAGGGTTGGCTCCTGAAGCAACGAACCCCCGCCCCAGATGCTTCCTAGAGATAGAGGATGTGTCCACTACAAATTGCTTTTATATATTTTCAGTTCTCCTAAGTTCAAGGTAACTGGGAACATTTGGACAGTCATAGGTAGATAGGGTCATTCGGGATAAAAAGGGTCATTCCTTGGAAGAAGACTAAGTCCGTTTGACCTTATTCCGCTTTGTTTTAATCGAATTCATTCTACGACACATGCTGAATAATCTTTTCAAAACAACAACTTTTGACAAGCAGTCAGGTAAAAGGTAGAACGAGGACAGATGTTTTTCTTAATCTCAAATAGGCATAATCAATCTCCTTTGCCAGCAATCTTCTACCTACCTGTGCACCAAGCAAAGACAACAAGTTCGAGAGAAAACCAATGCAATCCCATACTCAAGTCAGACCTCACCTTTCACATGCAAACATATATTTCATTTGCTTTTTCAATGAATATTCAATTGAACAGGGTCAAGAAAAGTGTGGGTTCACACAGGAGTGAAGGGTAATTTGAATCATTCAATTGACCTTGAGTGAAGTTTTGTCCAACCCACTCAAGAAAGTCGGGTAATATTCCAATCACTAGAAAAAATCGCCGTTGAATATGAAAATATGCGGTTACATGAAAATACGCGGCTCACAACTTCACAAGTTGTAGTCGTTTCACTGAACGACGGTCCGCTGCCTTCTCCAAGTGTCTGATTACACCAAGGTTGGGTCCACTTAAAATGCCTGAATGAGATAACCCTCAAAAAGGGTGCTTCCATGATCCAAACCTACGCCGCCTCAACATCCTAGACAGTCTCAACGCAGTCCCTGCTTCATCACATCCTCCAAGGACACTCTCCAACCAAACGCAAGTCCACGTCGCCTCCAATCACGTCCGCTCGCAATAACCACACCACTACGCTGGTCCCGATCACAACAACTAGTCCCACCCAGTCCCGAAATGGTCCCAGATGGTCCAAATGCAGTCCCATACTATCGCCTGCAATACTAGATGGCTCAGAACTCAAAACTGCTTGCACTGCGCGCCGCAAAAAAAATAAAGGTGACCCTCGGCGAATCCCGCAGGTGCCCCGAGCCCCATAATTACTTCGCCGCGTGCATCCGCTCTGCACTTTCTTCATGTCGTCGGCCCACGCACCATTGTCGCACAGTCCCAACCACGCACCAGCGCTAGCCCAACCTCTAGGCCACACTGAAATCCACCATAACCGCTGCGCACCACAAAAATACGCGGACCACTGCTTGCTGCGTCGTCAAACCCAGTACCATGGCTGCCCCGCAACACCACCGCCAGATCACACACAAAAAACTACCTCCACTGTGACGCAAGAGACCCGCAGCATCTTCCCTTACAATAGTATTGCCGACGTGCCGCCAACATAACCCCCAAAAAATAACGCTGATACCACCGCCAATCTCGGCAGCATGGTCCCACCGAAATATGTTGCTACCACCGTGCCAAAAAAATGGCAGCACTTCCCCACTGACAATGTTGCTTCCGCCGTGCCAAAAACAAATGGCAACACTTCCTCACTTACAATGTTGCTGCCGCCACCACCGTGGGAAACCGGCAGCGCTTTCGCACCACTGCCGTTAAAACCAGTGCCGCCGCTGCAAAAATCCGGCAGCGCTTCCGTGTCACTGCCAAAAGAATCACAGCTACCGCCGAAGAAATTCGGCAGCGCTCTCGCAGTATGTAAAAAAAAAAAACCAATTATGCCGTCGCACAAAACGGGCAGAGTTTCCCCTGCATTGTTTGCCAAAACTGCTACTGCCGTGCAAAAACGACAGAGTTTCCCCTGCACTATTTGCCAAAAACCGTTGTCGCCTCGCTGAGCAGGCAGCACCTTCCGTGCACTTCACCAAATGAAGTGGTGGCTATGATAGCTTCCACTCCCGCGCTCACTGCAACCCTCCACTCTCCACTCTAGCACCTCCACCGGCAACACCGCCCCTCTCCAGTAGCATGCAGCAGCCAGCCAGCATTCACCAAGTGAATGCCCTAACAGCACTGCCACAAGTGTGAGGCTGTTGGGTGGAGTGCTGACTTTTATAGCCAGCCGATGGCTGTGGGCCCGAAATGGCTGAGTACAGCCATTTCCAGAAGCACCTTGCCCACAACCAGGCAAAATTCGTGGGTGCTCTTGGCCCTCGATCTAAATCGATGGCCAGGAGCTAGGAGCCTTGGTTTTCCCCTTAGGGGACCAAGGTCCCTAACCCCCAGGAGTACTTGGCCGTTTTCCTAGGCCAGGTGCTTTTGGAAATGGCTGTACTCAGCCATTTCGGAGATGCCTGTTCAACTGAACAGATGCAGTTCCATCAGCCCCTAGAACCTTCTAGGGGCTGCACCTAGTCCACGGCCGTGGCCACGTGCGTGACCGTTACCTCTTTCTTCCCTTGCCTCTTCTGTTCCTCTTTTTTTCTCTCCTTTTACTAACTTTACCCCTTAAAACGTGCCTGCATCTGGGCTCCAACAGTGGTGGGTTCAGGCAATTGTGAACAACTGCTGCCTGTTTTTTTTTTTACGAACAGGCGCGGCTGTTCACGCCCACGACGATCAGGGGAGGGCTCACCTAAGGCGTGAGCAGAGAGTCCCTCGTAACTCAAGTACAAGGTCCTAAAACCCGGGCCCTCATATGACCGCCATCAGTGGCAAATCCATATGTCGGGGCACAGCCCCCAAATGAATCGGCGCAAGCCCGACGAAATGGCTTGGCACAATCAAAGCCCGTTCGTTGAAAGCGAACGGTTGTTTAGAATAAAAAAATAAAAATAAAAAATCGAAATCTAAGAAAGAAACACAAAATTTAAAGAAAATCCCAAAATAACATCTAAAAAAAAAAACAGAAAAATAAGTAAAAGAAGAAAAACAAAAAAAAACGAATAACTTACCTCGCCTGTTGAACAGTCGCCCGTTTTCCAGGGTGCTGTCAACAGGCACTGGGGCCAAAAACTCCCCAGTCTCATCAAACGGCGCCATGTGGCGCCTCCCATTCTCCCCGATTTAACTTTATTTATTTTTTTATTTTTTTATTTT